ACAACGCGCGCCGCAGCCCCTTCTGCAGTCTCTGGAGACTGCGCCGGCCACTGCGGAGGGGCGACTAGATGATTGTGTGTGTGACTGTGAGATGACAAGAAGGGCGAGTAGATCAAGTGGAGATGAAAGAGAATGAAAGAGAATGAAAGACAATGAGAGAAATGAGAGAAAGAGGTGAGATAACAAGATGAGTGTGTGTGTGTGAGATGATGAGATGATTGTGTGTGTGAATGTGAGATGTGAGATGACAAGATGAGTGTGTGTGTGTGTGTGAGATGATGAGATGATTGTGTGTGTGAGATGGGAGATGACAAGAAGGGCGAGTAGATGACGACAACAAACAAATGAGGGAAAGAGGTCAGATGACAAGATGATTGTGTGTGTAAGAGAAGGACGGAAGGGAAGGACGGAAGGACGGAAGGACGGAGGGAAGGACGGAGGGAAGGACGGAAGGACGGAGTCGGGCGGGATGGCAGCCAACAAAACTAGAACCCCACACAGAGATGTGGGGAACAATCAATTCAAAGGGAGTTGAAATAGTGATAGTGAAAGAACTTCCGAGCTACCGCGAAACAACTGCTGAACTAGTGATAGACTTGTTGAAGAGTGACATACACATGCGACAAACGCCATGTGCACGCACATACAAGTAGGCAGTCATTGTATGTCACACTCAAAGGAAACCTTCTTGATGGCGCAAACGAGAGTGGTGCATAAACGAGTGCTGCGGATGTGGCAAGCTAATGGAAAGCAGCTGGGGACATTATCATATTACCTCAATGATCCTCAAAGCATTTGCACAAATCAGTGAGTTGGCTCATGCCCATCTGTTGTTTGGCGCAACCCACAATAATGTACATAGCCGTGTTAACGAGTCGAGACAAACTACAGTAACCAGTTACTCAATCGGGCTAGCTACATTGCCAACGGGAACAGTAGATAGCTCGACCAGGAGCTCACTCCCCACTTTGTCACTCCAAAGTTAGTTTGCCCACTAGACTTAGCTAGCTAGCTTAAAACTTTCTTACCCCAGCAGCTGCTGCAATTGGCACGACACAATCAACACACAAGTTTGTCACCGCGCAGCTGTTCAACTGTTGCTGCAAAACAATGCAGAGGTGCACTGATTACCGTATTCAACCCCTCGACGGTGGTTTTCATGTTTCTGCATGCAACCCAAGCTTGACACCAAAGGCACTGATGTACAGCTGACAGGGCTCACTGGCAACACCCCTGAGGCCTCCACTCCTCTTCAGTGGAAGCTTGCAGCTCACTGCCTGAAAGGACGCAATGAGATCTGAATTGATGATCTACGGCACAAAAGCCTTCAGAGGCTTCGTCATGCTTCATCTAGTATAGCTTCCTAGATGCTGAATCTCATAATCATCAGTTGAGATATCTTGAGACTATTTGACCGTGATGCGTACACATTTCAGCCGGTAGAATCTTTGCTTGAGGCAACGACAAAGCGGCGATGTTTCAAGGCTCTCCCCAGTTGTTTGTGGTGTTCACATAGCAATTATGCCAGTGTACGCTGCCTTGTTCTACTCTGCATAACGTGTCTGATTCTCATCAAATTGACAACATGGTCATGTCCACAACGTTGTCATCAGGTGATGGGGGGGTATACGGTATGACAATGTTGTGGCGATGAACATTGGGCATATTTTGCAGGGTAGCACAAAACAGTGTGGCAGTGCGGCATGACTGCTATGCGAACACCACTGCGGAAAGCGTTGAACAACGTGCTCGTCCTTACCTTACCCATTCGCTCATAATAAAAGGAGACTTCACATTGATATGTCCTGTGTCTTGAAAGACGACGCGATACTCAGCCTATGGAGTAAGATCGTCGAGGGATTCACAACAATTTGCACAAGTTTTTTGGCGTTGAGAAATCATGACTTCAGCCACACATCTCCGAGCCCCTAGTAGCGTCCTTGCTCCTAGTAGCTTCAGAATGTCTCTCTAGCCGAGCCACACATCTCCGAACTCTCAGCCATCCTGGCAGCTTCGCTCTTCAGCTCTGCGCACTCAGCGCGGAGCTGCGCCTGGAGCTCGGTTCGAAGACCTGTTGTATTCTTGTATGAGATTGCTGGAGTGTTTGTGGTGGGAAACCCAAATAGCAAAGTACTCCATCAAAGCAGGGGGTTCTTGTCCGCAACAGCTATATATCAATCTATAGTCTATACTACTACTATATATCCCATGGGATATTTATGTGATTTTATGTGGGGGGTGATGTGGAGAGATAATTTTCCGATTTGGTTGCATGTGTAGAACACCCACTTCTTGGAGTATGTAATCAATGCCTGTATGTGCATCAAACACCTCAAAGAGATAGCTTGGGAACATGCACGACCCCCTCTCCAGGTACCATATGCCTATCTTCCCTGCCTGGGCAAGGTCCGCAGAGGTCTTCGCTGCCAAACACTCGAAATGCAAGAGGGCCTCCTATCACACACAATTGTGGAAGCCAAGTGAAGCTGAATTGCCAGGAGCCCCTAGTAGCGTCCTTGCTCCTAGTGGCTTCAGCTGTCAATGCTGAACGCAATGGGGTGTGATGAGGCTCTCCTCCTCTACCTGTGTTGAGGCGCTCACCTCCCGAAATGGGCGCGAAGCAAAGGGCCAAAGAACAAAAAAGAATTGCCACAGCTCCAATCTTCGTGGCATATCTCTTGTTTTCCAGTGTCCATCCCTCTCTTCCTTGACCGAGACTGAGATCATCTATTGTGCGCATCCCCCTTCTTTCCATAGAGCTTAATACACAAGTTGCTGCTTCAATCAGGACGCACAAAGCACATATATTATATATATATCATCAGTGTGTGCTCCTAATGAGGCGGCTGCGGCTACTGCGTCCAGTCGAGTTTCCAAACATGAACACATACCTTTCGGGAACCCTGATGTGTAAGAGACCCAGTGTAAGAACGACAAGCTTGGATCGGTCAATCCATGTGATTAGAGGTATAATAGCACCAGGCCCTAAGTCTAGTGGCGCGTACTCAAAAACAATTCATATTTTCGCTTTTTGCGAATGGTTCAACAGCATCAGCACCTGCTGCTAGTAACTTCAGGAAGTTGCTCAAGCAAGATCAAGCGGTATCGAGCCCAAAATCATCTGATATCCGTTTCGGTCTCCAACTTTCAGTGGCTTATGGCCACAGGCCAGCCTCCCGGCCCAAATTCCGTTGGGCTCGCTCTGCGGCCACTGACCACTCCTTTCGCTCACAAACTGTTCAGAAAATGTTCACAAATAATCACAAAAGGCCTAAGGCCAAGAATCGTTGGCAGGCATACAATGGGTCACTTGGAGCATCATGAAGATCATTGTGCACGCTGTCAGGGATGGTAAACCCCACCTTCCCAAAAAATGGGCTTGCCTGCCGCAATTGCGCCTCCCGCGCGAGGCAACGCTGGAGCATGGCTCCTCCTTCCGCAGCGTTGCGCAGCCTCAGGCACTTTGTACCGTGCACTCGGACATGTCAAGGCCTTCCTCGTCGCCAGCGACTGTAATTAGTTGCATGCCCGTGAGTGGCATAACAAAAAATAACAGTCTTAATAGCCTAGATCCGTAGTTTCTCCTCACCATCTGTAAACATGAAAGGAAGCACTATTGGTAGTGGTGATATTGGTGCAGGTAGCGCAAATCTACTGAGACCACATCGTCTTCCTTCTGCTTGTAGCCTAATGGCAGCTGCATTATTTGATGAGATGGAGGTGCTCGCTCACGAAGTTGCACACATTCGGCATACCTCAAAAAAGGTCTTGCCGAAACTAAAGGAAAACTTATTCAATCATCTCTTGGTATCTCATGATTGTGTTTACATAATATTGTATATATAAACGTCTGCGATGTGATATCTGCACCCAACTTCGGGAGGCCCCTAGCGAGAGAGATCAATTGTGTGTGTGTGGCAATCGTCGCTATAGCTGAGTGCGGCTAGATTCACTACGAGCAGCGGTTTCGTCCAAGCTAATGCAGACTCAGGCATTGTTAATTGCAAACAGCAAATGTTGTTTCCATCACGACTATGACACCAGTATTGTTAAAACTATAAATCTATGAACCAACACCAAAGCTTTGGTACCCTAGGCCATGACCTCGAGCACCACGTCCCACAGTTTGTTGGAGGATACTCGAAAGCTAAAATTGAAAGAATTACTACTGGATGCTCTCTACTCTCTACGCTCACCAACCCTCTGAGTCTGAGCGCCCTGGCAAAGATTCAGCACGAGCATCAGACTCCTCACATCCACAGATGAGTCAAATACCTGTTTCTCAGGCCAATAGGACCTTGTCAGGGTTTCAACACGGACAGGTCCAAGTGGATTCCATGTTCTGTGGACTTTGCAATCCACCTCCTACATAATTCATAGATGTCAGTCCTTTGCAACCCCATAGTGCCTCAACTTATATACCAAGTACACTCCCATAGTATGTCTGAGTGGCACCGCAAGTCACACCGCGCAGCGTGCAGGTGTTTCGTTTTGAAAATGTTTTGAATAGTTGGTCTCCCTTTCCACCTCCAAGCCCTGCCGGTATCCTTTAATCTTCGTTGCAAGTCTTTGATGATATTGTCTTTCGCCTCAGCCGAGCGCTTCCCCGTCATTTATGATTCACTGGCCAGCAGCAGCCAGAAAGTCTAGACCTCCAACAGCTCGCAAAGAAAGGAGGAATTTGTGGGGAGATTGCCGGAAGGTGTTCGTGGACTTTGAGAAACAACAGGAACACGTTCTAAAATGTTCTAAGGTTCTAAACACTTGCGTTAACAACGTTATCAAAAAACTTCAGAGTTCAACGTTCGCTTGCCATTCGCACCTCCAAGACCGCATGCAAGTCCTCCTCTGTGGCTCGACTGGAGGCCTCCGATCTGGGGCATAGCCGGGTTCAAGTCAAGTCACTAAGTGGTAACGCTACACGGCTTCTTCAGAGATGAGACAGGCTGTCAGTCACTTAATGAGAAATCAACACTGTTATGAAAAGCAGAGTTTCCCTGTTCCTAACTGTTCCTGTATTCCTTGCACGCATGGTAGAGATGAGGCCGCTTATTTTGTGTGCTCCCCGTGTTTGCCTCAACGGCCTCTTGTTGCTCTTACATCCGGCATCTATGGAGCGATTGCTAATCAAAGTCGAGGCTCTTAGGGATCTATTGCGCGAAAGACCCGCCGGTCTGGTGTTATCCCATGTTCAGCATTCATTGCAACAAGACCAAACTCCCTCCCTCCGCGCCACCGGCAGCGGCATGGTGGGTGGTGCACACTCCATCGGCTGTGGTGTCAAGGGCGCTGTGGCCATGGCAGGCACCGAAGTTGACATTGTGGGCAACCAAGAGAAGGCAGGAACATGCAGCAGGCATCTATGCTGAATGTATATATCACTGTTGCTGAAGACCTGAAGTGCAAATGGATAGCAATTACACTCCATGCCTTTGCTGACTGTTTTGTTTGCAAAAGGGCAAGTGGCACAATGCCTTTAAGTAACTTTAATGGTTGGGTGGCTGAGGAAGCTGACACTTGCACATTTGGTCGGGTTTTGTTTCCTGGCAGCATCATAACGCAATCGTCCGTACTAGGCACTTTGGCCAGTTGCTGAATAATGGTAGAGGCGTGGGACACCGTGCAGTGCAGAGTGATGTATATGTTGTTTAATCACATTATATATGCATACAGTTACATACACTATATTACTATATTTGATGTCATATCACTTATCACATTATTTTATAGCCGTACATAACATGTAAATAACCATGTAGCTGCTGCAAAAAGGATCAAAAAGGTACGCGTGCCGCTTGCCCTGAAACTGATTCTACTAGACACCAAGTGCAAGACACGAGGAGGTTAATTGACTTAGGGGATGAACGCATTCACAGGCCTGTAAAGCCATGACATTTCTGTTGCAAGTGACCCAACCAGTGTACCCCAAGCCCGAGCGATGGTAGCGGAGGGAGTCACCAGCTGCCGCTCTCCACCGTGCTGGAAGAATCCGCTGGAATCGAAGCAAACCTGAACCGAGTCATGTAAAGATCCAAAACTGCAAAGCAAACGTTCCAACACTCTCCTTTTTTGTTTTAAAGCCCGGGGGGATAGGCCGCTAGAGGTAGGTAGCTAGTAGTAGCTTGAGTAGCTACTACTGACAGGACGCAAGATAGCTCGCGCTAATGACTTGGTTCCTAGATTTCTAGGAAAACGTATGGCAGAGTTTGTTGTTGTTGCATGTTGTTGTTTTTGATATGTGTTCCTGTTGAGATGGTTTCTAAAGCAGCATCAAGAGCGAAAACAATCTTGTCTGCACACAAGTCGAATTATTTCCTATCCCATCTCAAACAAACTAACCCTAGAAGCTGTTATTCCTACATAATACGAGCTACAGAATGAGACTTTGTGTCGGCATTGGAGACTGGCCACGAGTTTGGGGTTTTGGTTTCAAGAACTGGTGCAGTTCATGGACAACGGGGAGTTGCAAATCAGTTTCAGTTATCGGTCAGTCATATATTATACAATATATATGTATATATATATAGTTCAGTGCCACCTGCTTATATAGAGAGGGGGTGGGACCTAGTCAATGGTTGTTGACAACCACCCTCGAGTTAAACAAGGAACGCCAGTGTCCCTGTTATGTTATAGTCTAGATGGGGCTTGTTCTAAGATTCTAAACCTTGGTTGCAGGGCATGACAAGTTCTTGCGTTTGCCCTTGCGCCTTCGTGCGCCTATCGGTGTTTTTGCATATTTTGAATGTTCTAATTGTTTTAGTACTGGCAGGCAAAAATGGCGCACCGGAGCCGGAAATTGCAAAAGTAGTAGTAGTGGTAGTGGTAGTGGTGGTGGTAGTAGTAGTGGTGGTAGCAGTAGCAGTAGCAGCAGCAGCACCAGTAGGAGTAGTAGTAGTAGTAGTAGTAGTGGTGGTGGTGGTGGTGGCGGTAGTAATACTAATGGAAAAAAATAGTCGTGAGGGAAAAGGGGAAAAGGAAGAGGAAGAGCAAGAGGAAAGTAAGGGAAAGGAAGAGGAAGGAAGGGCGGATTCCCCGTAAAAACACTGAAAACAATAGGTTTTGCTTCAAGAGAGGAAAAAAGGAAAGGGAAGAGGAAGAGCAAGAGGAAAAGGAAGAGCGGATTCCGCATAAAAACACTAGGTTTTGGCTCAAGGGAAGGGAAAAAGGAAAATGAAAAGGAAAACAAGAACAAGAGGCAAAGGAAAACGAAGGATGGATTCCGTATAGAAACGTTGAGGCGCTTAAAACGTCGAGGCGCATCCCGCAGGCGCGTCCCGCGCACGCATGTCGCCAGCCGCGTCTCGCAGGCGCGTCCACAGGCGCGTCCCCCAGGCGCGTCCCCAGGCGCGCCTGCAGCGCGTCCCCTTTCAGTACTAGTATAGTCGTCTTGTAGCAGTAGTAGTCGTCGTCGTAGCGGTAGTAGTAGTAGTAGTAGTAGTAGTAGTAGTAGTAGTAGTAGTAGTAGTAGTAGTAGTAGTAATAGTAGTAGTAGTAGTAGGTGTAGGTGTAGGTGTAGGTGTAGGTGTAGTGGTGGTGGTAGCAGTAGTAGTAGTGGTAGTAGAAGTAAGTAAGTAAGTAAAGTAAAGTAAAGTAAAGTAAAGTAAAGTAAAAGTAAAAGTAAAAATAAAGTAAAGTAAAGTAAAGTAAGGTAAGTAAGTAAGACAGTAGCAGTAGCAGTAGCAGTAGCAGTAGCAGTAGCAGTAGTAGTAGTAGTAGTAGTAGTAGTAGGTAGTAGTAGTAGTAGGTAGTAGTAGTAGTAGTAGTAGTAGCAGTAGTAGTAGCTATGAGATATATAGACCTTGCGCTCGCCCTTGCGCCTTCTTGCGCCTACCAGGTAAAAAACAACAAAAATTCTGATCAATCTTTCTGCGTAGTGCTTTCATACTGTCTCACTTTAACGCTGCTCATGTTTGACCATCCTGGTGATTGGGCAACGTCAACCATCAATGCGGATGGCACTCAAACCTCTTGCGCTTCCTCACGCAATTTACAGCCCGTCCAATGGCAATATATTGCAGGTCTCATCAGGTCTCTTTAATTCTGTACATTTCCATCCTTACCACCAATCAACAAATACGCCCGCCCTGCCTCCATTAAAAAAGTGAAGCGCCGGTTTTGTTAACAGGAGAATTCCCAAAATGAGGGGACCTGCAAAAAAATTGAACTCTAGGAAGAACTTCAAAACCAAAAAGTCGCCTACGGACATTCAATTAAGAAATTGAAAGCAAAACCTCTAGATCGAGGGGTCTTCCTTTGTCTTTTGCAAACTCTTAATGATGTTTCAACGCTCTTTGCTTGTCACATTCCATCAGAGTAACAACGAAAGATTTCGACAGGTGGTGTTGCCGTGCCATGCGGTTTGCGAGGCCTTGGTGGAAAGGGCGTGTGCGTCGTTCTTGCCAGTGGGGAAAGGTTCGCATTGCGTGTGCAAGTTCGGCGTGTCGCTAGTGAGCACGATAGGAAGTGATTCTAGTGGGTGGGTACCTTAAAAAAATCGGCAAAAAAATTACCAGGTAGTCGTAGAACAAGTAGGCGGTAACTTGTATGAAACTATAAATAGGATACTTTGCATCATTAAGATGTATTAAGGGCCTCCGACACGTGTTTTTCCACACGTCGGGTGAGGTCTGTTAGATTTTATGTCAGCTACCGTCCTTGTCCTGCTCCTTCTCCTCCGCCGCCTCCTCGTCCTCCGCCTCAACTGCGAGGGTCGTGTGGCAGTGTTCCCCGCCGGACCTCAACTGCAAGGGTCTTGGGGCGGGGTTCCCCGCCGGACCTCAACCGCGAGCTCCAGCTGGCAATGTTCCCCTTGCGAGGGTCACATGGAGTTCTGCACCGGACCTCAACCGCGAGGGCCGCGTGGCAGTGATCCTCGCCACACCTCAGCCGCGGGCTTCGGCTGGCACCTCAACCGCGAGTCAGAGGATATGCCAGACAGAACGCCAGAAAGAATGTCAGAATGAGTGTCAGAAGTTAAAACTAAAGTCAGAAAATATGCCAGATGGAATGCCAGAATGAATGTCAGAAGATATGCCAGAAAGCATGTCAGAAGAGATGCCAGAAAGAATGTCAGAAGATATGCCAGAAAGAATGCCGAAATATTGTTTCAATACTCATGGTGGGGATCACTCGAATAAAGTAAGTTGATGTGTTTTGTATGTTTGGGTCCTGTTTCTTTTTGTTTAACAGGTACTTGGGATTGCTTGCTAGGAGGCTGAGCAGAACGGCCAGGAAAAAGCTGGTTACAGCTGGTCCCTCTCCCCATCCTCTCGGGCGAACAAAGAAGCACCTCTTGCCAAGCGTCAATCCTGTTAGGCAATTGAATTGACCGTTTACTCTGGGTAAACTTCTGAGACTGCGATGTCCATTCACAAGGAAATCAAAAGATATTCTGCATCGCCGTCCTTTGGGGGACGCGATGTAGAATGGCTTCATTGGCTGTGGTCGGATGATCGTGTTCGGGAAGACAAATTGTATCCAATTGTGCTTGCATTACAGATTCATCTTGAAATAACATGCCATTGCACACATTTGAATTTTCATATAGATGCGAATGCTACAGTAGTAATTGTAGATCAGCAGGCGCCTACTTAATTATCAAGTAAGGAGGCAGGGCCACGGGCTACTCCAAAAGGTTGACCAATATTGCTCCATTCCATCTGACGATTGCTCGACTGAAATCAAAGCTTCAGTCCACCATCTACCCCTCGAAACCTCCCCAGTGTCTGGCTGCTTTGTTTCGTTCAAAGGATCAATATGCATCTGCACCTGCCTGCCATCACCTACCTGATCCTACCAGTACCCGTCTCTCCTCTCTGCTTCCAAGTGGCGCTTTCGGTGTGGTCCACGCTCAAAAGCAGGCTTGACTGGGCGGTTGAAACGCCCTTAGACAGCGCGGCATGCAGAAGCTTCTTGACGAAAGGTGCTGCCAAATTGGAAAGACCTTCATTTAATAGCAATTGTACACATATATAGTATGCCAGTAATATTCAGCTGACACGATTTCTACTTCTACGTTCCGCAATTCATTAGAAACTCAAGTCTGCAGACCCTGCTCTGGAGAATAGCACCAAGACACTCACTAAGAGTATACAAATCAATATAGTAGCAAGGCTTCACAAGGCTTCACCTGTTTTGCGCTTCGGCAAGTCTGTCGAGTCGTTGTCTTCAGTCGTGGTGCCTACAAAATATCTCGCCATTCCGATGTAATGTGTTCTTGCAGCTGCACCCAGGCTTTGGTAAATTCATCGAGCCAAAGCTTCTCATCAGCTGCATACTGTTGCACATGCACCTTAAAGTTTGGATCGTTTACAAGAGCCATATCAGTAGACATCATGACTGC